TATAGGAGAAACTGACCTCACAAACTGTGATTTAATAAAAATTGGATAGTTATTAATAATAGTGAAACAACGAAGCTCGTTGACCGAGAGCTTATGAGATGTGGAAAGTCTGAACAAGTTGGCTCCGTTTGAATTTTTGAACTTTCTGGGCAAATTAGCTCCGTCTGGATTTGTGAACTATATTGAGGACGTCCCACTACAGAAATTCGTGGGGAAAACACGGCTACTGTTATTCAAAAGGGGAAAAATACGGACTTCTCGAGATCGTATAAGTTACCTTGTTTCGATTGTTTAAGCACCATCAGAAGTTACTAGCGAAGACGCCCCTATTCTGAGGGATTTTTGAGGCTAAAAGGCATCTCAAAGAGAGTGGCGAATTTCAGTGCCGCTGTTAGCTGGCTGTGATATCCGAAAAAGCAGTAAAATTCTAAAATATGATAGGATGGTGGGAAAAATGGAAAGTAAAAAGTAGGAGGGAGCGTTAATCAGCAAATCAAAAATTCAGTGCGAAGTCGTTCCTCGGCTCCGTATTTTTTAACTCATAAATAAATGTAAAGGTTTGATAAGTTCGCTATGTTGAATGGTGCCGGCGCCTTCTTCATTCATTAACAATTTCATGTCGAATTTGACATATTTTTGAGCACATCATGAAATTGCAGTGTACTTCAGGTGCATCATTCTTTGGCCGACTTAGAAGTACCAGCGTCAAAACGATTGCCTCACTCCAGTGGCGCACGTTTTCTTTCAACGTGCAATTGTGGTCATTCTCAAGCGCTGCGCAATGATCCCTTCACACTCAAAGTCTTTTTTCCTTACATTTTATGCAATTTATTTTAGCCTAAGTATTGCTTTATTTATCGTCGTCCTTACCGTAAATTTCCAATCATTGGAATTTAGCCAGTTAGCTTTGTGGAAAGGCACTGGAACTCGTGCCATGCTTTCGGGTAATTCTCAGCCGGAATTGCTTAAATGTTGCAGATTTGCTTAAGACATGACTGCCGTGAACAGAGCCCTTTCTCAAAAATTGTTCTGGCCCGGGAGGGAATTGAACCCTTCCTCTTCGCATCCGGTTGCAACGTCTTGCCACTACACCACTGATTTTTGTACTTAGGTTCAGCGTGGCAGCACATTCACTGTGTATTTGTCTTTCAAGGCATGGTACACCTTTGTTTTATTCTTTGCCTCGTGTAGGCAGTTCCCATCTTCTTTGTGGCAGCTTCTTTTCCGGCTTTTCGCGGGTTTTTCGTGCCAGTGATAAATCTTCATACTGATGGACAAAACCGCTTTAAAAAAAGTACGCCCCACTTCACTACTCTCAGATGGGGATTATTGAAGTCTAGTTTCCTTTTATTATAGTTCAAAGCCAAGATTTTCAGGAAGCGAATTATGATTTCTACATGCAGTCTCACTTCGAATGTTGCCAAGATTTTGAACGCTATGAATTTGAAGTATTTGAACAAGAAGCCACTGAAGGAAAACTGGATGATGTGGAGTCGTTGGATGAATCGCTCATCTCGCCAAAACAAAGTCTTGCACAGTCTGTCTATTCGGTAGTCGAAGGTATAATTCGTGGATTTTTTAGTTTCTTTTTTCCATTACTGGTCATGATTTAGAGCCAGTTGGTGATGGGGGAAATAGTGTTTTTTCTTAAGTTTGTTTGTTTGAAAATATGAATTTTTCAGAGGATCTGGAAATGCTTTTGGATAGGGATAATCGTCTGGAAGTTGACGAATTACATCGTGATTCTCCTTTCAAAAGTAAGAATTTGTTTTTTTTGTTTAATAATCGACTGAATCGCAGTCTCTCAAATTATTATTATTATTATTATTATTAATTAGTATGATTTGAATATTCATGCGCGATTTTTATAAACAAACTCAAAATGATGTGTGTTATATCGTTGTAAGTTTACATCGCTGTAAATTTTTTTATAGTTATTTTGAGATTCCATCACGGGGGGAACTTACTTGCGCTTGGAAAGGGTTGCGGTACATTTGCAGTATTTCAGCGGAAGATCTGGAAATTGA